CTTGTCATCTTTAGATTGTGTAGTTTTTCTTCCATCTTTTCAGCATGCAGCACAGCTTCTGTGTATCACGCCTGTGCTTCTTCCACCTGCTCTTCCTGCGGCCCTCATTGAGTTCACTCTTCCCGAGGAGGAGGAGCCCTTCCACTCTGGCCACGTCGCCCTGGCTCGCAGCCTTGTGGAGCTTGCGCCTCCCCCGCTGCTCCTCCCGGGGTCCGAGGGGCTGGATGGAGCCTGGCCCCTACTGCCGAGGCAAAACAACCTCTTAGTGGCAGAGGCTGTACCCAGGCTCTTCCTGCCCTCGACTTTCCACCGCCCTTGAAGGTGTGCTGATCACCTTTGCATTCCAACCGTTCCAACCGCTGGGCTGCTGGTTTCCTGAGAAATTTTAAATCTCTATGGAGTTCACTTTCCTGTAGCATATTAGTTGTAATGCTGTACAAATTTCTATTTCACAACTAATAGTACAATGATAATTTCTAACATTCTTTGAGTGTTAGGTTCTAATCCCTTTATGTCTGTCATATTTATCACATTTATTTCTTTTCATCCAACAGTTCTCAGCTGGGGACGATTTTCAGCCTCCCTCGGGATACTGGACAACCTCTATGGAGAGTGTTGGTTGTGTCAAGGTGGAGGAGAGGTTGTCCTGCCGGCACTCAACGGGTAGACACGGTGCTGAACATCTTACGGTGTACAGGACAGACTTTCTCCCTGGATAAACGATTTTTCTTTCCAAATGAATTTGCATGAATCACATAAATCAAATAGTTATTTAGCCCCAAAAGTAAACAGTATCAGGATAGGGAGATAAATCTATTCAACAATCCTATTTCATGGCTATTATTAACATCATCTTCAGAAAAGGGTAACTGACCCACAGACTGAGTTACTTGTCTGAGATCACAGACCTAAGTAAGTGGCGGTGCCAGGATTGAGAATCTAGGTTTCTGTTGGTTTAAGGCCCGAGCTCTTTCCATATCCTTTACTGCTGTCTCTAGAGAACTTTGGTGAACATGAGCAATTTCTGAGTTTTAAGAGTGGAGATACTGCTTTATTCTGTAGCTCTGCCTTAGCACCAGGGTCTCACTTGCTGAAAGATGAACAGCAATAGTTTCACACTTGAGTATCTTCAGATTCTCCCTTAGGATGACATGTCAATTATTAGGTCAGTAACCTCAAAAGAAAATGGTTGCATTACTAAAGAAAGGAGAGCCAAAGGGAAGGCCAAAGACACTATTTCTGCCTCCAAGAAGGTTGTGGAGAGGAAGAGTTACATATACATGTACATAAACAGAAGTAAATGTGTATGTGCTTATAAGCAGAATTGTCATACCAAACATAATGTTGGAAGTAGTTAAAAGTAAACAAGAAACTATCCTAATTGTATGTGAGAACAGTTCTTTTTGGTCCTGAGAGAGTGCAATGCTGCAATGTGGCTGCATCCTGGCTTGCCATTGTGGCATGCTGTGAAGAGCCACGGCTGCTCCTACCCTTCTAGCTTAGACAAATGTGGAAGTACCACCAAATTAGGCATGTGAAAATTAACCAGGCCTTCCATTCTCTGCTTTGTTGAACTTTTCTTCTGTATGCCGTGATGTTTTCATCCTCTTCTTTCATCTTTCCTAGTTTTTAGAGAATGCCTGATTGCTACTCACATAACACTAATAAAACTAACTCAGGAAAGAATCTGAGGAAAATTCAAATAAGGCGGAATAGGATGGATAAGTATTCATCTTATGGCAGGGTAAGTGAAGTATGACCGGAAAGTCTTTTTTGTCTTTCGTAGATTGAGTTTACTTGGGCACATTGCTGAGCACATAGTAGGTACTAAATAAATGTTGGCCCCTTTTCTCCTCGTCTTCTTTTTTTCCTCTCATCCTGAATTTCCTTTTCTCTCTTCCTCCCTTCTGTCCTCTTTGTCTCCCTTTTTACCTCTTTCTCATCCTCTCTTGATTCTTTTTAAAATAATGTCACACATGGCTATTCACTCCTCTATAACTAAAGTCAGTTCTACCTAAAACATTAAGAATTTCTATAGAAGTAAGAATGTGTAGTTCTTAAATGCTTGGGTTCAGTGAGCAAACTGTTTAGGTTCTAGCCCCAGTTGCCTCTGTTATTATGAACTCTGGAACTTTCAGGGGAAAATTAGCATTTTTATGTCTCAGATTCTTCTTCTGTAATGTATGGATAATGAACATATTTTCATAAAGGTAACTCAAGGATTAATAAAGGCAAACCATGTTGTGTATTTGTCATTGTACCCAGGATATATGATAAATGTCCAACAAATATACTTATTGTACTGTGGTTATAAAGTGATGGGAGCTAGCACCTGAGCTATCTAGAAAAGTGAACTTGACTGTTTCTGCCACTTCTGTTCTCACCATGGCCCACTGATTCCCTCTGAGATCCACATAGAGTCTTAGTTACTGACCTTCAGCCATATTTGAACACTTCTTGTGCACACATTTGCATTCCTACATTAGGAATGTGTGAATACTGAATGCCATTTCTTAATTACTTGGACATGTCTGCTAGCAATGTTCAAGTTCTGAATTATGAAGTCTTCGGATGAAAAATTTGGTGCTGTAATAGTTTATGATAAAAAACAATCTAGTCTTCTGCAGGGCATAGTGGTGCACACCTGTAATCCCAGCACTTAAGTTTGAGGCCAGCCGGGGTTATGTAGTGAGTTCAAGACCAGCCTGAATTGCATAGCACAGCCCTGCCTTAATGCACTTCCCTCCATACCCTAGAGTCTCCTCATAAATGTGTGGATATGATTAAAATAGAACATTATATATCATGTACTAAGATATCTATAACATTTCTACTTTCCTGTCTCATTGTCAAATAGGTATAGAAATGTTTATTTCATGAAATCAATGCAAAGCAAAAGACTGGGCTGTTGTATGTGTCAGTAAATAAATATAAGAAAGGGTGATTTTATTAGAAATAATATTACGCACAGATAGTGATGGGTTGAAATCAGATCTGAGTTTGTATCTTAGCTCTGCTATTACAAGCATTCACGTAACTTCTCATTTCCTTAAGTGAAAACTGAATATAATAATGCGTACCTGAAAAAAATAATGCATACTTTCTATGTGTCATAAGATTTGTATTAATGAGGCAAGTGCTAAGAGCTAGTGCTATTTTCTTTTTCATGGGAATGAAACTATCCAATATTTGGAGTCTCCATATACTTTGTCATATACCATGTCATTAGAACGTAATCCATTTTTAAAGTTTGGTGGTGTTGGGGGCATCCAACCTTGGGCCCGCGCATGTTCATCAAGCCCTCCACCGCACAGCTACACCTCCAGCCCATGAACTTGATTCTTAATCCCTTTATTGTCACATACTCCTCATTAACAAAGAGGAACTGATTATAGGTTTATTTCAAACTGCGCGTATTATAGTTGATGGGTCACAGTAGCGCCTGTAAAGCAAACATCAGTGTGGAGGTGGAGAGTGGATGGAATGAGTTCAATCACATACCTGGGAAAAGTCAACAGTGAAGATAGAGCCTCAATTTTTGTAACACTGAAGAGAAAAACCTGGGTACAGGATTTGAAGCCATGAATCATGAGTTAGAAACGTGGGAGTTTTTCTTGGTGTCTAACTTTATGCAATTTGGCTTCTTTGTTCTTTCTCTACTATTCAATTCAGAATAGTAAAATGTAGATATTTCTAAAGCCCACTTTAGGTGAGGCGGGAGAAGAGACATTGCAGTGCCAAGCAGAGCTATGCACACCTGCTGAACACATTCCTTAGCTGAAACGCGTGTTCCTGTCTTCGTACCATTATGAAATACATGCTTTAATTGTATTGTATTTGGGCAACCACAAGTCAACAATAAGGTAAGGCATGAGTAAACAGCCTTGCTTAGAGATGTTGAGACGACAGTCAGGCCCAAAGTTTTACTTTTGTTTGAATTTTTCAATTCAAACTCGATATACACTTAGTTGCTTTTACACAATAGAGTTCAGGAATTAAAGGACTGGCTCTTTAAAAGCCAGCAGCCTGGCACACAGCCCTACTCCAGAAACTTGGAAGCAAGGCGCTCTGCCTGGGAAAGCCTAAATGCCCTGGAGAGTTGAGCTCGAGTCAGGTCAAGGTGAACGTACCACCTTCCCTTGAAAGACTGGAATTCTTTCGCTATGTTAGTCAAGACCTTTTGCTGCCCAAGACTAAAACCTATAGGAGGGCGGATTAGTGTACACCCTGTCCACTTGTCACTGTCTCTCAGACACACAAAAGCCTCTTACAATAACATGAGCTGCCTGAAATACTTAAAACGAACAGATCTTGGGCGGGTAAGTCGCAAAGTTCTCTCTTCTTACCACTTTGTGGGATTTTTTTTTTTTTTTTTTTAAATAATTGTGTTTTCGAAGGTACCTGTGCCACACACGGGGCACCTAAGACTGAAATTAACAAAGCTTGTTCTTCCCTCTGACAAGTGAAGAAAGCTCCGAGAATCCAGGAAACCGGCCACGGAACTTTCTAGCTCTGTGAAGCTGTATTTTGATAGAAAAGAAGCATATTTCACTTCCTTTAAAAAAAAAAAAATGCACCTTGCATACGGAGCACGAACCGGGTTAGGATCACGGGCAAACGCAGGAGGAGCAAGGCTGCGGCAGCGGCAGCTGGGTCCCGCGGACCCCGTGCGTGCGGCGCGGCGCTGCTCCTGCCCCGGCCGCGCTCCGCGTCCGGGGTCGCGGCTGGATCTGGTCCCTCACCTGCGGGCTGCGCGGGAGGCCGGGAGGGACGCGCGCCGGGACTGGTGCTGAGCGCAGAGGAGCGAGGCTGCGAGGCAGAGTCGGGAAGGGGAGGAAGGAGGAAGGAGGAAGGCCGGTGAGGCGGGGGGCGCGAGGAGGCGGGGGGCGAGTCTGGAGCCGCGTGGGGCGGGCCGAGCTGCGCCGGCTCTGACCCGGCAGCGGAGGCGGGGAGGAGCGGAGGCGCCGGGAGGCGTGCGGGATGGGGTGGGTGGCGGGAGCTGGAAGCGGGTGACATCACAGCAGGTCAGAGAAAAAGGGGTGAGCGGCAGGCGCGAGAGGAGCAGGGCGCTTGGCATCAGGAGCAGAAGCCCAGCCCGCCCTGCAGGCCCGGGAGACCATGCAGAAGTCGCCTCTAGAAAAGGCCAGCGTCATCTCCAAACTTTTTTTCAGGTGAGAGTTGTCCAGTGGATCTTTGGAAGGACACGTGCCTGCACAAGAGGAGGGAGTGGGTATGGCCAGAGTTTGGGGGAAGGAGGAGGTTTTGTTGTTTACAGAAGCACTGTCATTCATTGTTTTGGGAAAAAATGTGAATTTGGCGAAATAAAATTGCACTGAAGTTAGAAGAAAAGAATAAACTGAAGCCAATTGTTTGGATAGAGAACAAAGTTCATTCGTGACTGAGAGCCGGACTCCCGAGACTCAAATATGCTGTGGTGCAGCTGGGTTCTTTAATTGTTTTTTTTTTTTTTTTTTTTTTTTTTTTCTGAGAAACTTATACATTGTAAAGTTGTTAACAGCAAATTCTTAAGTTTGGTCCTCCCCCACCTTACATAATTCAGAAACTTGTCTTCTTGGCATAAGTACTACAAATCTCATTCCTGCGTGTAGTAGGTGCTCAGAAAACATGAATTTTTTTTTTAAAGAGCAGGAAAAGAGATAGAGATTATGTGCTTAAAGTTTTATTATGACACTAGTAAATGTAACAAGTATTTGCCATAAATCCATTATTTTTAAGAAGGAAAACAAACCTAATGAAATATTTAACTGAGGAAAGTGGGAGTACTTTGAGTTATACATTTAAAATGGAAGTCCACGTTATCATGGAAATGTGAAGCTGTGGGTACAGGTACTAAAGTTATATCCAGGTAGCATTTAGTAAATCCTATTCTTATCTTACTTTGCACCGGTGATCCATAAAAGCTAGCAAACTTTATCTAATGAGATTTTAAATAGTAGGACTTAACTTGGAGTCTTAGATAAAGTGTGATTAAACATAGCGTTCATCTTTGCAATGTTCTCGTTCCTGCTATTATATTTGTGTGAATGAATGGACAGGCGCAGCTCTCTCCTGGGACACTGCTTGACTCCCAGTCCTCCAATGAACCAGCATGCAAAAGTAGCAGGAAAGTCAGATGTATTATAAATAGGCCCATATATGCATGCCTTTGGGCAAGGGATTTCGCCTCTCTTATCTCTCTCATGTTTAATTCTGCACATGGAGCACAAGCCTGAAATTCAGGCGCTCAGCCAAGGAGGCCGCTGAAGGAGCTCCTCGCTGTGAATGGGGAGAAGGACTTTCCTCTTTGGAATTCCCTTATATTGACATGTATAGATGCTTTTGCTAATTAATCTGCAGGACTGACCTATCTGTTAATCAGTTTTCCTACTTCTTATAAAGTAAGAATATTAATTGGTTTAAATTATAGACTTTTGTTAGAATGTTTTGAGGAACCTAAGCACCAATCCATCTAAAAATAAAGTTTTCAGGAGAATGAATATCTTATGGTTACTTTTAAGTACTAAGGAACTTCAAAATTGCTCCTCTGCCAACATGTTTTTTAAATTTTCTTTTTAAAGATCACCTACTATATTTTAGTATAATTTTTAAAAATGCTCATAGGTTAATTTGAAAAGAAAATGTAATTTTAATAGCTACTAAATTTTTAAGAGCATACTCATTCCTGTTCTTCAAGCTACTTCATTATAAGTTGCTCTAAGAATAAGTGTGTTTTCAAAAGTTAAATTCTTACTATTTATGGGAACTGACAATCACCTAAAGTACTAGTGATTATAAACTTTGTTCTGGACTCTAATTCTAAACTGGTAAAAACTTAGTTTCTGCATTAGGCTAGGTAATATTACGTAGTGGTCAAAGGTGGTAGGTTTCAGGCTCATAATGCGTGGCTCACATTCCAGATCTCTCTTTCGTAGCTGTGTGACTTGAGAGAAATCCCTTCGCCTCTCTGTGTTTGCTTGACCTTTGAAACTGAGACTGGAGGAACTGTGACAGAGGGGCTCATCTGTTGAGAAAATGTGTATCCAGTGTTGCCCTGTGAATGTTAGCTCTATTATACTTATTCTTAATTGACACATTTTTACACTCTTCACATTACTGTGGGCCCTCTTTATATAAAATGATCAATTCTTCCCTGTTGAGTATAATTTTGGGATTATTCATCTTATATACAATGAATGGGCCTCTTTGAGAATTTGAAGAAAATCCCCATTAACATGGCCTTATCAGATACTGAATGTAGAAAGTTACATGTTTATGTCATATCTTCTTAATGCCTTAGAACTTAACTTTCTGAATATGGCCTCTCAGTTTTATAGCCATAGAAGAGTGAAACTTATGGCCTGGGTTATGGAGTATGTTAAGTATCACTTTAATTTTATAGGTTTTGTGATTGGAAAATCAAAATTTTGGGGAAAAAAATCTAAGTACTTTCTTAACTCTGCAAGGGTTTCACATCAAGTAAAAAATTTTAAATACATTGAAACTCTCTTAATGAAGAATATAAATGGCTTTATTATAAAGCTTCAAATTATGAGTATTATAGAAAATAAGTACAATAAGTTGAAGCTGTGATGAAAACATTTATGAAATAACTTATTTTTTGTACCTAAACTTGAAACCAGGTCCTTCACACTGAGCTACACTCATCTCTTTTTAAACTGAATTTAATTTTAAAACAGGGTCTGTGTAAATTGACAAAGTTAGGCATAAACTCATGATCCTCCTGCCTCCTCCTACTAGAGTGATGACTGACATAAAAGTTTAAAACTAGAGGTGAAAAACTTGTATGGTTTATATACAAGGTAAGATTGATTTATAAATGCTTACCAACAGTAGTTAAACTTTTGATTTTGGGCAATATTTTAACTTTAAGTCTCCGTTTTCTATTTAGTTGTTAGATTATGTATTAAACCATGTATTGGATAGTATAACCTGAATTTTCATCAGTATGTCCATTCTAGAAGTCTTGCTTTATACTCACGGAATCAGGGGAGTTTCACTGAAACCAAATGATGAACGTCATGCCTCTCTTAAAAGACTGGGCATAGGGTCTTCCCATAAACTCTCAAGTCAAATTGCAAGTCAGACAAAAGAATGAAATATATTAGGATTTAGGATGGAAATTCACAAAAAGTTGCATATTGCAAATTTCAAGTTAATAAGATCATTTAAGATGGTTTTGTAATTGCTAGATGAAAATGTTAAACATATATACTGAAATTTAAGATATTTTAAGCCACTAGAATAGGAGTGGTAGCTCAAAATATCTAGCAATGAAAAACCACACTTCTAAGCATTTTGTCTTTGATCAAAATATTTAGACTAGGCATAGTGGTCTATGCCTGTAGTACCAGGTCCTGTGAATGCTGAGGCAGGAGGATTGCAAGTTCAAGACCAGCCTGCACAACTTAGGGAGACCTGTCTTGAAATAAAAGAGCTGGGGATATAGCTCAGTTGTGAAGTGCCCCTGGTTGATCTCCATTATTGGAAACAATCAAACTAACATAATTGGATCTCCTGTTATGACCTTATCCTTAAAAAGATATACATTTCTTTTCCTAAATATGTATCAACCTCAATTCATTTGTACTTACTATATTATGCTCATTACTTGTATTAGAGTAAGAATCACATTATTCAGACTGATCACTTTGACTTTCTTCTAAATTACTTTTGATCATTTGTCAAAATGAAATTTTTTATTTGAATTTACTTGATTAATAGTCAATGCTACCTAACTTTAGGTATTATCCTTCAGAAAATGCATTACAAATTTTAAAGACAGTTTTTATTGAAAAGAATAAGTGCTTTAAGCAATGCAAGCATAATTATAAAAGAATATAATAAAAGATTCATAAACAAGAAAATTTTGAAGAGGACCAAACTTTTTTTTTTTTTTTGGTTTATGTATTTAGTACAGGGTCTACAGGGTCTCACTACGTAGACTGGACCTGCAGTGATCCTCTTGTTTTCAGCCTCCCAATCTCTGGGATTACAGGTGCACGCCACCACGCCCCTAGTCTCAATCACAGTCTCAGCACACCCTGGGGCAGGGCCGGCACTGCCTTGCCAGGCATCGAACCCCGGCTGCTGTGCTCTGCCTAAGCAGGCACTTTAGTCCGCTTAGCTATCTGGCCAGCCCTTCTAAACTTTTAAGTTATATAGAGGGATATCATTTAAAAAGCATCACAGGAGGATCACTATGAGTCCGAGCTGCATAGTGAGACCCTGTATCAAATACATTTTTAAAAAACCCAAAATGCAGTTTTTTAAAAAGTTTATTTATTTAGTGTGTGTGTGTGTGTGTGTGTGTGTGTGTGTCCAGCTCAGCCCACCTAGGGGTGGGGCAGGCTGGCATGTGGTGCTGGGGGATTGAACCACAGTCCCTGTGCTTTGCCAAGCTTGTTCTAAGTAGGTGCTTTAGACCACTGAGCCATCTCACCAGCCCGCAGTTTTCTTATAGTGCCATTTTATTTACATGGTTAGCATGAGGTAAGCTAAAAATTAAGGCTGAAGCATATATATATTTCTGCAATTTATTGGGAATGTTCATAAAAAATATTGCTACAGGAGGCTAATCTACTTAATAAGTATCTTATTCTGTTTCTGATATTTGTCTCTCAAGCAAAGCTTGGACTCTCTGAAGGAGAAGAAATAAATGCATAAGACAAAGACAAGTGTGAGATCAAGAATTCATATTGTGATATCCAATGGGCAGCCATTTAGGCAGTCCATAGGCAAATGCCATCTGTGAAAGCAGTCCTGATCTCTTTGCTGTCTCTTGGCTTTATTTCCCAAATGAGACACCCACCTCTGGGGTACAAGCTCTCTGACTTGTAAAATACCAAAAAAAGTTTGGCTGTATTAGTCTTCTGGTATTTCTTTTCTCCAGCTTTCTTTTGCTGACCATGTTTTGTTTTTGCACAGAACAGAGATGGAATTTAGAATACACGCTAATTTCATGTCAGTGTTGATTGTTTTAACACTCAGAGTTTTGAGGGTACCTTTTCTACATGATCTGACTAAAATTATACATGTATAATTTTATACATCTCATATAATTTGTCTTTATAATATTTTATAATTAAGTTTACTGTGGCTAATTTTTGTTTAAAAAATTCCTCTTTAGTTTTTAAGTGTATTCCAAAGGATT